ACTATTTCCATTCCCATTCAATCCATTGCTATCCAACTACCTCCTGTCCCATTTACTTCCTCTAATATCCATCCTATGATCACTCGATCCAAATCTGTTGTATCACCTCATTGTTTAGCCTCAACTACATCTCTGTTTTCAGATTCAGAACCACCTTCCTACAAGGAAGCCTTACTTTCACCCATCTGGCATAAGGCTATGCTTGAGGAATTTCATGCCTTGCAAAAACAACGCACTTGGTCCTTAATGTCTCTTCCACCTACTAAAACTGCTATTGGGTGTAAATGGGTCTTCAAGGTGAAACGAAACTCCGATGGATCTATTGCCCGATATAAAGCTCGTTTAGTAGCCAAAGGGTACTTACAACAGGAAGGGCTTGATTTTCATGAAACCTTTAGGCCCGTTGCTAAGCAACCTACTATTCGCATTTTGCTTTGTCTTGCTCTTTATCATAACTGGCCTCTTAAGCAGTTGGATATTTCCAATGCCTTTCTTCATGGCATTCTTGATGAGGAAGTATTCATGCTTCAACCTCCTGGCTTTGTAGACTCTTCCTGTCCTTCTCATGTTTGCAAACTTCACAAAGCCTTATATGGTCTCAAACAAGCTCCCCGGGCCTAGTATTCCACCTTTTCTACCTTCTTACTTTCTCAAGGTTTTGTCAATAGTAAATGTGATTCCTCCCTCTTCATTCAAAGAACTTCTACCTCTGTTACTTACTTACTCATCTATGTTGATGATATCTTGCTTACTGGAAATAATTTGGTCCATATTCAGCATCTTATCACTCACATGCATACTGCCATTTCTATGAAGGAATTAGGGAATCTTTCCTATTTCCTTGGCATATCTGTTCAATCTACCACTACAGGGTACTTTCTGTCTCAGCAAAAATATGCCAAAGACATCCTTTTGAAAGCCGGTCTTTCTGCTTGTAAACCTTGTTCCTCTCCTATATCTGTCAAGCCCAGCACTCCTCCAAATGCTTCCCTTCCATTTGATAACCCTGTTCTTTATCGGAGTCTTGTTGGAGCCTTACAATATCTTACAATTACTCGACCTGATCTCTCTTTGGCTGTTAATCAAGCATGTCAGCACATGCATGCTCCTACCGTGGGTCACTTTGCTGCTGTTAAAAGAATTCTACGGTTTGTGCAGGGTACTCTCCCTCATGGGTTGCACTACACTCCAAGTACTTTTGATCTTCATGGTTTTTCCGATGCTAATTGGGCTGGTGATATCCATGATATAAAGTCTATCTCCGGTTATTGTGCGTTTTTGGGAAATAATTTGGTGTCTTGGTCTGCCAAGAAACAGGCCACTGTATCCCGTTCGTCCACTGAAGCAGAGTATCGTGCTTTAGCACATACTGCTGCTGAGCTTAGTTGGCTTACAATGTTGCTCACTGAAATGGGTATCTCTTCATCTACCACACCTGTGCTTTGGTGTGATAATCTGTCTGCCATGGCTTTGGCATCTAATCCCGTATTTCATTCTCGCTCGAAACATATCGACATTGTCATTTTGTCCGGGAAAAAATTTTGGCTAAACAATTTGTTGTTCAATACATCCCTACTATTGATCAACTTGCTGATTTGTTTACCAAGCCTTTGTCTGTTTCCCGCTTTTAGTATCTCAAGGACAAGCTCATGGTCTTTGAGCCGCCCATCAGCTTGCAGGGGACTATTGAGCCTACTGAATCAACTCAGCCACAGTTACATATGCACACCTCTTCAGCTCAAACCACACTTCAGCCACAAGCCAAGCAGAAGCAGTCGTTACTAAAGTAGTTACGCAGTCCATGTGTTGCAGTTGTAACTAACTCTAGAATTCTGTTAGACTGTTAGAGATTCTAGAATATTGTATTAGATCTATATATATATAGATACTATCTTGTGTAAATGGTGTGTATGAAAAAGAGCTATCAATAGAAGAATCTGTTTCTTTTGTTCTATGGTTTCATAACTTTCCACATTCAAAACTCTTTTTAAAACTTATGACTGAACAAGTTTTCTCTTTTTTCAAAACTCATTTTAAGAACTTATCTTTCAAAATATAATTCAAAATTCAAAATTCATTTCAAAAACTAAATCAAACAGAGCCTTTAATGTCTCGTGTGAATCTTTCTTTTACACTAAAATTTTTTTAAATTAAACCATAGCATGAGATAGTTCCGCATATTTAAGATAAATGTAGTTACGCATCGTTTTTTTAGATTTTCTTATTTTTTTATTTTTTTTATAGGTATTTTGAATCTCTAACGGAGTTGGTCCATTAAGTGAGTTTAAAAACCACTGAAGACCCTATAATTGAGAAGGCTCCCAAAATTTTAGAATACTTGTATATATTGTTGTATTAAGCAAATGCAAGTAATGAGAAAGCTCAAAATATTTGTCATTTGTTCGGGCTTAAAAATAAAGTTGATGAAGTCTCACATGTTCAAATCATAATTACAAATGGAAAAATGAAACCTCATATATATTTGTTTTCTTCTATAAATGGATTAGTTCAAATAAATAAAAGGCACATGATGTGTTGAAATGTTATAGATAAAATCATTTTTGTTCAATTTAGGCCTCAAAATAATAATGTATGCTGCTAGAAGCCTAATATCAATCAATAATATCAACATTTCTTCTCTCTAAAGATAATTTTTTTACACATCACTAAAAATTAATAATTAGTGACTTTTTTGTCACAATTTTTATAAATTATCGCTAAAACTTACAATTATTGACGTTTTTTGTGATGAATTTTTTGAATTGTAGCTGAAAGTTGAAAATTAGTAACATTTTTTGTGACAATTTTCAAATTGTCACTGAAAATTAACAATTAGTGACTTTTTTTAATAACGTTTGATGAAAAATGTCATTAATTATCATAGAACCTATCAGACAATAAGTTCACATATTAGAACATACAAATAAATATCCCAAAAATATGTTAGAAAGTTTTCATTGTAAGAATTTAATTAATAATTTTGAATCATGAAAAGTAAAAAATAAAAAAATAAAAATTAAATATTTAAAAATTAAGTAATAATTATTTAAATGTTTTTTTGGATTGAAATAATTATTTAAATGTTAAAAGACCTTCATTCAATACTTTTTTGACTTTTTTAGCCTGTGACTTTTTTGGTTGTTTGGTTTTTTTATTTGACTTTTTTGGTTTTTTTGCATTGGAATGACAAAATTGCCCTCCACTTGGAAATGATTTTTTTTACTTTTGTTTGTATATGAATCAATTTGATAATTTTATATCCAAAGTCAAGTGTTTTGTCATTTTGTGATTTTGTAATTTTTTTTTGTCCATATATACTTATTTAGTCCCAACAAGAAAACCAAACGGAGCTAAGTTGTCCCTAATCTCTAACACTACTCTTTGGCCATGTTTGTTTGGGTGGACATGAGCTTGAGATTGGACTAATAGTCTAATAAAATTATTAATCTGATGTTTGGTTAAATAATTGAAGTACGGACTAATTATTTTAAACTTGACTATTAGTTAAGATAGGATACATAATCCAACGAATTCGTAGTCCTAGGACTATTAGTCATGAGATTGCTAATCCAGTTCGGCTAAACAAACATGGCCTTAGTGTCTCTGCAGCGCAATATTGTTGTTTGTGTCAGCGAGGGTAATTTCGTAATTTTGTAATTTTATATAATATTTTAATACACATTTTTCATTAAAAAGTCAAAAAATTATCTCAAACTATCATATTTTTTTCGTCTAATTTATAATCTAAAAAATAAAAAAAATACACTTATTTATGATATTCTAAACAATCCGGAAAAGTTGTGAGAGTACCATATGCATTTTTCCTAGTCAATGAAAGATGTGGACAATATCTCTCTACAAAGCCACCAAACACACGGACATGATATGAATACCTTTTGCAGATAATTAATATAAGACCCAAAATTCTGTCTCTCTCTCTCTCTCTCTCTCTCAACTCGGAGAACTTGCAAAAATGATCTTCACTCGGCTTCCTCCTTCAGTTGCTGTAATCGTTTTCTTGGCTACTTTCGCCTCCGGAGCCACTCCACTTCCCTCTTCTGAAGGTATATATATACACACACATATGAATATAATGGCCCGTTTGTTTTGAGTTAAGTAGATGGGAGGGGATTAGGATAGTAGTTGTGTTATTTAATATTGTGTTTGTTTGTAAGGTTGGGGAGGAGATTAGGATGGTGGAAGTGATATAGATGGAGGTTGGGGAGGGGATTGAGATGAAGGTTGGGGAGATAGTATTAGAAAAATACTGAGGGGATTAGAAATTTTTTTATTTTTTTTATTTGTTATATATTGGAAATTTTTTTATAAATATTAATGTTTAATTTTTTATATTTTTTATTTGTTTTATTATTTTATATAAAAATAATTTAACAATTTCCTACACTAACAACTATCATCAAAACAAACACAATTTTACTTAATCCCCTCACTAACAATCCCCTCACTATTAATCCCCTTATTAACAAACCCCTCATTATTAATCCCCTCATTATAAATCTCATCCATTCTACATCTGAAAACAAACGGGACGTAAGATTAGGAACACCAACAAGGTTGGTTTAAGACTTTCGGATTCCTTACTCAAAATTTGGGTTAGAGTCTTCATAATCATTTGTTAAGATTACGGGGTGGTTTGACATTGACTAATATAGTCAACTTTTTTAGTCTGACTTTTTTAATCTCATTTGGTTTTTGTTTTAGAATTTTTTTGATTTTTATAAGAGAAAAAATGTAATGATTATAAGTAAAAGTAATATTTGTTTTATTGACTTATATAACTTATTTTGTTTTTTTATATTTTTTTAATCCTAAAATGTTAGCCAAACGAGCACTAAATATACCGTTTAGTGTTTAGAGCACGCAAAGCCTTAGTTTTGGTCCTCACGTAAGTTCGGTGAGATTCTGTGCATATGCACTGTAAGTACTAAGGGTAATATTTCGGTGACGGATATAAATTAATGTGGGTTTTATTTTTGCAGTGGAAGCTCTGAAGGAAATAGCAAGCAAGTTGGGAAAAAAGAATTGGAATTTCAGTGTAGATCCATGCAGTGGAGAATCGGGTTGGGCCAACCAGAGTGAGCCTAACGGGTTTCAGAATGCTGTTACCTGTGATAACTGCACCTCTGATAAGACCACCTGCCATGTTGTCAGCATGTAAGCTCTCTCTCTCTCTCTCTCTGATAATTTATAGATTAACACAAACAAATGTTTAATAATTATCCATAAATTGTTGGCAAAAAAGAAAAATCTATAAATTCAAACCTCAAACATCTCCTTAAAGCCTAGAGTGTAATATTTTTAAGTTTTCTTTGCTTGTACTTGTAGTGGGTTTAAACACGAGAATATAAAATATGGTTTCAAGATTAATTTTTCATATGAAAATTAAAACCAATTCTATTCAGTCTTAGGATTGCCTTTTTGTTCCTTTGTTTGTGTTTATTTTTTGTTGTTGTTTATCTTGATCAAAAAGCAAAGTTCAAGTTGTCCTTGTATGCACATAAATGAGAAATCACAACTTATGATCATTTGCCATTTTTTAATCATTTAATAAAAGTGATTCGAGAGATAGTGTTATTTTTATAAATATAAATCATTTTATGTGTGTTTTATTTCAAGGGGTGGTCTGGCATCCTCTAAATAATTTATCTTTTTATCTTTTTTATCTTTTTTCATTACATCAACTCTCTACTTTTCTGCACATCTTTTTAAAAAAAGACAAAAAGTGCACTTATTTAGATCATTCCAAACAACCCTTTAAAATTAAAAAAAATTCAATATAAAATTATTTATAAATATTCTATTTATAGATTAGGAGAAATTATATAAAAAAAATCCTAGGGTTTGAGTCTTAAAACAAAATATATTTTTAATTTTTAATTTTATCAATTTAAATCTCAATGATTTATTTTCAATTTAAATCATTTATCTATTTTTGTCAAATAAAATTGACCAAAAACTGATATTGTAGTCATTATACTCTATGTAAATGTACGAAATCTGTCTAAAATATCCATTTTTATTAAGTTTAATAATTAAAATATTATATCTTCGATAGTTTTACTTAATAAAAATAAACAAATAGTTTAGATTAAAAACAAATTAAAAATTAAGTTTAAATTGATAAAAATAAAATTTTAAGATTTATTTTGTTAAAAGACTCGACCTTAGAAATTTTTATTTTTTTTGTAATTTTTCCTATATATTATTACTCTTTTTCAAGACATTATTTACATATAGTATTATTTACATAGATTATTATTCTTTTTTGGTTAAAATAGTCACAAAAAAATAAAATAAGTTATTTTAGTTACAATAAACAAAATATCATATCCAACCCATAATCATTAACTCTTCCCTTACGAAAAAAGTCAAAAAGTCAAAAAAAATTTCCCAAACTAAACTTTTTAACCTAAATTAAAATAATTAAAAAAATTAAAAGTCCATCCACTTTTCAAACCACGTCTTAATAATAGTAAGATGTTGACTTACCAATTTCTTGTTTCGGTGGCTCTTGTCTGCTCACAAAGGAGGTTTCATCAACTTTGTTGAAATAAAACAATTGGCTTTATTGACTTTGTTTGGTTCCAATGTTAGCTACAGAGGGGTCTTCGAAAGAATTAAACTAAACATTGTTTGTAATTTCATGCATGAGATTTTTTTTCCCCTTTAGACAAAGGAGGTTTCATCAACTTTGTTGAAATAAAAAATTAATAAAATTAATAAAATAATTGACTTTATTACCTTTGTTTGGGTCCTATGTTAGGTAGCGAGGGGTCTTTGAAAGAATTAAACTAAACATTGTATGTAATTTCATGCATGAGATTTTTTTTCTCTTTTTTAAGTTTGCAGTTTACATGATCCACAAATTATTTATACCATTAATAATTATCCTTTGAAAACATCATCAACAAATAAACAATACTAATGTTTGGTCCTATCGAGAATAATGTGATAATGATATTTGAAAAAACACAAACTACTTTGATATCTTTTTTGTTAAAATGATAAAATCCAAATTTATCATATCATTTTATATTGGGTGGATTATACTAATAATTCTTATAGTTTGAGACTTGTGTTATTTTGATCCTTAACTTTTCAATTGTGGCACATTTGACCATAAATTTTGAATCTTGTTCCAAATAAGGACAATTGAAAATATCATTAGATTTTTCAAGAGTAAAATCATCAATTTGATAAAATGTAAACTAATTTGACAAAAACAAATATCAAACAAATATTTTTGAATTTTCAAAAATTATTTCTACCCACTAAAAATAAAATTATGCAAAATTGATAAATCTTTTAGACATTTTTTTTACCAAATTAATTTTTATTATGTATTTGAATGATGATCGTGTAAAACTAATTTTTAAAAATTAATCATGTAATTTTTATTAATTTTTATCAATTTTACATAATTTTATCATTAGTGGATAAAAATAAATGTTAAAAATATTTTTAATTTTTTTAAAATTATTTTTATCCAATTAGTTTATATTTTATTAAATTGATGATTTTACCCTTAAAATTAAATAATGATATCTTCAATTGTCCTTATTTGGAACAAGATTTAAAATTCAAGATCAAATATGTCACAATTAAAAAGTCAATGACCAAAATAATATGAGTTCCAAATTATAGAGACTGTTAGTGTAATTTACCCTTTTATATTAGCTTTATATAATATATCAATTATTTCATGGAATCCATCCGCTTTTATTTGGTGGGGGTAACCTAAGGCCCACTCGTTAAATTGGTGAATATTAAAAGCCCTCACCTACGATTTTATTGGGTTAAGAAAATAGACATGACTCACACTTGTAAAAATAAATAAAATTAGTACATCAAATTTATTTATTTTTAACCCAAGCCTTTGGTAATGGGAGAGAAATAAATTACCACAAAAGTATCAAACTCCTCCTCATAGAAATTAAACTCCAGATTTCACATTAAAAAGTGTGTTACACAGCCATTACGCCAAATGTCGTGATTATATCTTATTATTAGAACTTTGTGAATAACGGTCCCAAAATATACTTAATTTTTTTTTCCCCAACAATGTTATGTATTTTCAAAAAATAAGTCGAAAAAAGCCACAAAAAAAAAGAAAGAATAGAGAGCATATATTAAATTTATATTTGAAAGTGATTCACTTCACATTAAATTAAACTTTTACTATACATTTTTTTTTATCACTTTTTAAATTATTTTTTTCCAGCTTCGTAATTTGATTTATATGATAAGATACTAATTGCTTCTTTTTTTTTTAATCCTTCTTCATTCACTTATCTTTAACAAATTAATTGATTAATTTGTTGGTACAAGCATATAATTGATATAATAAACACCTTCAAAATTTACTAAATATGTTGAATATATATAGTTTGAACTTTTAATGAGCTATTTTAAAAGCCATATTTAGATGGCAGTGGCTTTGGTCCAGTCCAAGATCGGTCTGGACCGTGCTGTTGGGCCCGTGGAGGCCCACCACGGGTCCTGTTTTGATAATCTGAACTGTTCAATATGTAGAACTCGCCGAGTACTATATGTCTGTAAAAAATCACGTTGATTGAATATCGATAGTTATGTGAACAAAACAGTTTTTTATCAACCGTTAATTGTTTCACCGTCCATTTTTTTTTTATATAAAACTGATTTGATCACATAACTATTGATATCTGATCAACGTGATTTTTTATAAGCATGTATTACTCGATGAGTTCTACACATTGACAGTTCAAATTATCAAAATGGATCCAAAAAATAAGCCCATGGGCCGAACTGGACGAGTCCAGTCTTGATCTCAACTTGAGACAAGCTGGACCCTATTTAGATTATACCATTCAAGGAGTAACTTATCATTTTAACACAATTAAATTTCACATTAATTATTTAATTGATTTATGCATAGCAAACTTTGGTAGAAAATGACAATTGAGTTTTTAGCCAAAAAAAGGGTGATGTGATAAAAATAATTTTGTCAAACTTTGAAACAAATTTGACATAATTTTTTATTTTGTTATTTTTTGATAATAAATTTGATTAAAGAGAAAATTTTGTAAACTCTAACCATTTTTTAATTTTAATTTTAATTTGACAACCTTTTTGACTTTGACTATATAAATTGCTTGTTGTTTGGGAATTATAAAAAAAGAAAAAAAAGAAAAGAAAAGTTGGGGGGGTCATTGACACTCGTTAAGGTTTTTTTTTAATACAAAATTTTCCTCATATTTAAAAAATTATATTTTCCTCTTAGGGGTTTATAATATCATTACAAATTATCCATGAATTGTTGACAATGTCTTAAAAAATTTTAAATGACCATTTTGTTATTTTTCCTATCATTTCTTCTTCTGATCATTATGATTACATTGTAGAGCTTTCTATCATTGAATTCTACTTGAACATATTCTTATTGAGTGATAATATATAAATATAAATTTTATTTTTTTCTCATATTTAAAAAATTATATTTTCCTCTTAGGGGTTTATAATATCATTACAAATTATTCATGAATTGTTGACGATGTCTTAAAAATTTTTAAATGACCATTTTGTTATTTTTCCTATCATTTCTTCTTCTGATCATTATGATTACATTGTAGAACTTTCTATCATTGAATTCTACTTGAACATATTCTTATTGAGTGATAATATATAAATATAAATTTTATATAAAATTTTCAAACACAATGATATAGTTTAATGGTGACCTTTCGTTTTAAAACAAAATACCCGTAAACATGATTCATATTTATAATAATATCACTATCACAGCATTTTATGATATTTTTTGTACAAATTTTTATATATGAATATAATTTTTCATTTTTATTTCCACCATTATAGCTAGATTAGATCAGGTTATTCTAGACATATTTAAAATAATAAAATTTGTATAAAATTTTTTTAAAAAAAATCCATTGAATACAACAAAATAAGATAATGTATCAATTTTTTTTATTTTTGTATTTGGTGAATTTAAAAAAAAAATCACAAAATATTATACTTATTAAATATATCTAGATTAAGCGTATCTAAAAAAAAAAATTTGCTTAAAATGTTAAAAAAATCAGTAAAAATAAAAACATACAAAAAATAATAAAACTCTATTTTTTGTGTGAGCTCAACTAAAGAAAATAATAATTATT